TATTGACGCGGTAATTCTTCCCTTTCGATATTCATACCATACTGGGTCTTCACTCTGTTCCTTTGATATACTTTCAATATTTTTGATTATTTCTTGCGAATGAATGTTACACAAATGTTCAAGAAATTCCTGTCCTTCTACATTGTCATGCTCTTATTTATACTTTTGAATTAGTACTAAGTCTTGATTGTTATTGATGTCATTTTCACTAACACTTTCATCAGATGGAGGCTCCATAGTGTAAGTTAGGACTGAACCATGTTTCTTGCAGACTTTGTACAAAGATCTCATTACATTGTCTCTGTATGGCTTTAGATGCACATCAATAGCGTCATTAGAAAAAGGCTGATAACTATCACGGATGTCTTTCTTACCAAAATTTTTTTTTTTTTTTTTTTTTTTTTTTTTTTTTTTTTTTTGTATTTTATTTATTTATTTTCAATTCTTCATATAAACAAACAGTGAAATATATATATAACAGACAAATTACATTACAAACAATATGACAATATTACCTTCAGACAATTTTATGCAAAATTTTTAAAAAGTTTGTAGTCAAGTGATTTCAAATTTTTTAGAATGGAAGCATAGAAAAAAATTGAAGATTTAACGTGATTAAAGATGTTATAACTAGTTTCATCTAAGGAATGTATTCGACAGTACATCTTATATTTGTAAATCCTACAGGCAACATATGAGATGAGTGTGTTGAGTGATACAGTTTTTCTATTGCGCTCAGAGCTAAATCCAATTATTACATGTTTCCATTTGATATCTATCTTCAGGTACAAACTTAATCTATTCCATACTTCACCAACATTTTTACATTCAAAAATGAGATGTTTTGAAGTTTCAATCACGTGGCATAATTTGCAATTACTACTCGTTTCTTTTTTCCATTTACTGAGATACAAGTTATTACAAAGAATATTGTTTAAAAGTTTATAGTTGAATTCTGTAAGTTGTTTATCGGGTATGTCATATAATTTACATTGATATATATTTTTCCATTCTGAAGGTTTGACACTGAATTCGTTGCTTAAAACTATTTGATAACATGGTTTACAAAATTTTCTGTGTACAAGATTGTCATAAAAAAAGTTACATCTTTTATCTATGATGTTAACCTGTCCTGTGTAGAAAAGAAAATAATTTTTGTATCTTATATTAACAAACTTACAATTTGAAAAATCATACTTTAGTAGCAAAGGTTTGAAAACAGAAGAAAGAATTTTAAATTCACACAACCAGTTTGACTTGTTTTTTATACAATTAGAAAAATCTAACAATGATTTAAAATTACCATCATCGTCAAATAAGTCTTTAACATGCAAAATCCCACTGGCTATCCAGTTTTTAAAAAATAATGTATTTCCCCTATAAACAAAGTTACAATTGTTCCATATCGGCTGTCGAAGAACATTATCGGAAGACATTTTGTTCAAAAAACAGGGCTTACATTCATTAAAGCAACATAACATTTGTTGATAAAACTTAGGTAGTTTCTCTAATTTTTCCATATTTTCTACTTTTCTATCAGAAAAATCTAACACATAGAGAACTTCAAAATTTGATTTTTTACAATAACCATCAAAAATTTTGTACAAAATACCTTTGCTTTTTAACAATCTAGGTACCCAAGCTGCTTTTAATGCTTTTAATTTACATTCAATATCAACGATTGAGAGTCCACCTTTTAAAATTCTACCTATAAGCGTGTTTCTTTTAATTCGTTCATTTTTATCCCAAATAAAGTTATAAATTAAACGTTGTATTTTTTTAATGTAAGTATTATCAGGGAGACTTAGTATTGAGGCAACGTTACCAAAATTAATATTTTGTATTGTAAGAGGATTAGATGCCTGCCTCGGTCGATCCCATTTGCATGGATTGTCTGTGCATACCTCAGTTCCTCTGTCTTGGTGCCTTTCACTAAAGTCATGCAAAGCAAACAATAGTGCTACACAGTGTTTGCAACTTCCGTCATCTCTGGAAAAAAAATAAAAGCTTGCATTTTATTCACTTTGAAATTTGATAAGATTTAAATATATTAAAATTGACAATGTCACATGACAGCATTAGCACACTGTATATGTCATGCTTACTTCAGCATTGTTCATGTTGATTTAAAAAACTATATGAAAAAAAAAATACTATCCCTTGAAAATATTTATTTATTTATCATATGATTAATACTTATAGTCCTAAATTCTTCAACTTGGATTAAATCCATATATTATACTAACATTAGAAGTGTGTTCAAGATTGTGGCTATTAGCCTACCAGGTAGACAAGATTCTAGGTCTATTTAATAAAATCTTTTAATAAATGGGTGTTTCCTCTTTGCAGGGCCAGCTAGATGTTTGTGTATGTATTTAACATCAAAACGCAGTGCACTGGTACATATAGTTATGTTTTTTTTAATGGCATGTACATATAAGCATTATGATTTATATTTATCATTATTTATGAGTAGATCTACATAAATACATACAAGAGGATCTTGGGTCCCTCTCCCTTTTTGGGAGTTTAAGAGGAATACCAAAATAATATAACTAGGGATTACATGATAACCGGTACATCATATAATATAGGCAAGGAAATTCCCTGGGTCTTGGGGACAATCCTGAGGACAGGTATGTTTATGATATGTTGTTCCTATGGGACACTTAGAATATTTATTCAAGTAATCGTTACCTCTGCTTTATGAATAAAATGCATCTCCATCAAAATTATTGAAAGATTCACCAGTCACCACGGTATAAAACAAATTATGATAGTACCCTGGCATGTGTACATATATATTTACGCCACACAAGTACAGCCACCGGATTTCACAGAACCATTTTTATGCAAGAAAATCCATGTTTGATAAGGTTTTTCTGATTGCCTTGTCTCTGGCACACAGGTACTCTTAACATATATGTATCCATGTGCAACAGAGGCCATCAAAACTTTATCTATGTGGTTGGTTTGATACAGTTTGAATGAGTTATCATCCTTGTAGGACTTCAGTCTGTTTGCACTCCAGTCACAATAAGTCATTAAATACACCATTATATCACCCATTTCGATGTTTGGCAAATTTTGTAAATGGGCCTTCCAATCGGAAAGTCCACTGATATCAGGTAAAATAAAAGTCGTAATATTTTCATCGGTACGGACCTCCACCGTTCTCCTTTACTGGTCGTGATAGCCTATTTTTTCAATTGCACATTCTTCCGGCTCAATTTTCATTTCGGTCGCAGCTTTTGCCAATCTAATTAGTTGTTGTTTTCGATAAATTGATGTTTAAATACCCCTTTCTTTCAAAAAATCCCGGCGCTGGGGAACGGATTTTAAACGAATCTATTCCTCCGCCATTTTGTCCAATTGGTGCCTAGATTTTTATCACGTGGTGATGAAAGTCACATGACACATTTACTTAGCGCGGACATCCCGGAAACGAAGTATTGATCAAAACTCAAAAGTACCAAATAACTGTAATTAATACATACATATGTATATATTAATCTAATATAAAATCTACAAGATAAACATGAAAGAGCCTGACATTTGTGAAGGCAAATACCGGTATAATAATTATATGTACGTTTGAAACATTTGAAATAAATCACATGCATCACAAGGAAAAATTCTTCACTCACACAAATATCATTACAGAGATTATTTTATTTGTTAGTTAATAAGAATATTTTTTAAATCATGATATAAAATGTTATAGAACATAGGAATTTTATTGTAAGTTTTAAAGATTGTCAGATTTGAATCATTAAATTTCAAAACCTGATTTTAAAACCTCTTGGCGCCCCCATTCGTTTATTGACATGACCAACTTATTATGCATGCAGGAAGTTTAAAAAGCAGACAAAACGACTTATTTAAAAGTGCAGCTTTAATCAACATTCTGAAACAAAATGGCAGCTGACAATATTCCACTGGAAGCAAGAGATCTCCATAATAAACTAATCACCGATCTTCATGATTTCATTAACTCTAAGATAGACCTTCACGATTTCGAAAAGGTAAAACATCTACAATGCCTTTTGTCTGTGCCATTATCTTTCATCGTCTCTATTTCTACAAATTCTTTCTCTGTGTCATAATTATTAATTTCCCCTTTTTCTACAAATTCTTTTTCTCTGTGAGAAATAAATTGAAGAAATGAAGGCACTGATAAATAATGACACAGAGAAGGCAATTTAGAAAAAGAGGCAGTGATAAATAATGACACAAAGTAGACATTGTAGAAATAGAGGCAGTGATAAATAATGACACAGAGAAAGTATACTAGTATATCAGCATTGAGAGGAAAACTAACAGCATATAATAAAGCAGTTAATACATTATAAACCAAAACCATGGCAATTCAATGTTTTTTCCCCTTGACTATTATTCTTTGATATTAATCTTCTTTTATCCAGGTACAGAAACCGATTTAAGAAACATTCAGAACTTCTTTGAGAAGACATTAAACTTTGAATGTCATGTAGAACAAAACAAGATTTAATGGAGTTCCTAGAAGAAACAGCGGGACTATTTAGCAACAGGCGTAAAGCAGCGGACTAATATTGTCTTCTAGTCTTCATAATGAGTCGCGGAAACGAGGTTTCTGATTACCTTGTTTCTGATAATTTCTGATAATCTTGTATATTAAAAATACGGAGTTAAATTGATAACTTTTATTCTCTGAAATTTACTGTTTGAAAACTCCATGATCTTTCTCATTCATTATGTTTATTGGACGTAAAAGTTTATTGTAATCTCTAGTTTCTTATCAATAAAATTCTTTTTCTTGAGATATGATGACTTAATTCTACACAGAGTCCAAGGCTGCAGGTCTGAGTTATTGATGTCTATTGCAGGAGGGCATGCATATTTACACATGACGAGCAAACCATATCTCTTGACGATATTGTAGCTTATTTCAAAAACGACAAATTAAAATATTTTGGAGGTAATTTTTTTTTTATTTCAAAGAAGAAAAGACTTCTTTGAGTATGAAAGCAGCATGCTACGAGGGTTGCTGGAAAAGTTCGTGGACGATGTCCATCTTTGTTATATTACTCACTGGAAATTCAAAACAAGCACATAATAATATGTAAACATATTTGCTTTGTTGATGTGTGAAGTTTCATTCCATTCGATTTAACACAAATAAATTTACTTCATTTTAAAATCAACATGTTTTGTACCCGCGGAGCACACAAAACGGCAATGTAAGGTCAAGACATAGCGTCGAAAATTTATAATAGATACTATATACCTATGCATTTCACACAGAATATTCCAATGCCCATTCATTAAATTATTTTTCTAATACTTGACATTTATTTTTCAAGAATTGATCTCATATTGTATAATTTTCTTTTGTTAAGGTTTTAATTTCTTTTAGTACTTAACTCTGCTTTCTCAGGATAAGCAACTCTGAAGCGCCTTTGTCTTTCATTTACGTTTAAAATTCTAAACTTTTGTTCAGATGTTTACAGTTAAACCGTTTCTTCACAGGTCATCCTCATCCGACACAGAGTCCCTGTCACTCAAATATTGCCTGTACTATTTGTACATACATGCACAACTCGCTTGTGACATATTTTCTTGATTCCAATAACATTTTTAGAGTTCATTCAGGATTTTTCCTGAGGAAAACACAAAATTGCTTCGATACCTGTTCCTCCGTGACGTTCTAAAACGTCATCATTTTTGTCGTTTTCAATAAGGACAACTTATCTTCTCCAGTTGATTTCTTTTCAACAAAGCAAAATATAAAACCATCATTTGGTACATGTATCGATGTAACAATTTTTAATTTGAATTTCTAGGTAGTTTTTCGTTTTTCCTCTAGTTTACAGAGAATATGACTATAGACATTATTTATTGTATTATCTGTAACTGACTAAATTTTGACTTGCTCTGCGATCCGATGTTTGCATTTTTAAAATCTGAAGTTTTTTGAATTAATTGTAATATGTTGTCAAAATTAATACTTATCATTTGGATTTATTGTTAAAATATTTCTACCAAATTTTAATAACATATGACGTCAAATAAAAAAAGATATGGCAGTTGTCCACGAACTTTTCGAACAACCCTTGTATGTACTACATTCATAAATCTTACTTTTGTAGGGAAACCTAAGAGTTTCTTTATACAGGCCTGTCGCGGGAAGTCTCCCCAGGGTACAGTGGATTTGTCTGATGATAAGGAGGAAGTCATGATTGATCAAGTGGTAGGGAAGGTCTCGATCCCCACAGATGCTGATCTCCTGATGTCTTCTGCTACAACTCCAGGTGAATAGTAAAAGAGTTTCATACCTAACTAAAAACGGAGCTGTTTCTCTTGACAATGATTGCCAAATATTAATAAGATAAGACAAACTCTTCAGGAATTGGAATAAACTTGATGAATGGACCAAAAATTAAACGCAAAAAGAATAAATAAATATAAAACTGAAATGTTCCTGATTAAACAATTTTGTACAAATATACAAAGAAAATGTTCTTGCGAACAAAACCAAATTAACATAATGCTCATTTCAGTACAGAACTATTTGCAAAGAGTTTATATATTGATGTACTGCACCTAAGTCCTTATATTTTCTGCTAAATTTCATTTTTAATTTTCCTGGGTATATTAATTTAAATAAAAATACATATTTAGATAAAATAAGTAAAAAAAAGTTTTTGCAACACTTTTACTATAATTCTTTAAACAAGTTCAAAAATAATCAACCGTCCTTTCAGGGCACTATGCTTGGCGAAGGCTACGCTTAGGTTCCTGGTTTTTCCACAACGTGATACAGATTTTTAAGGACAACTATCTGGAGGAACTATTGGAGGACATGCTAATTGATGTGAAGGAGGCCCTGGCGTACGACCCCCAGTGGCAGACCAATGCCGGTCACAAACAAATGCCGTGCACGTGGTCCACTCTAATTTTCTAACCAAACGGTTTTATCTGGCACCCGGTCAAAGTCCCGAATAACAACAGTACTCCAAAGCAATTGCCATTAAAACAATGATGTGTATTGGACTAGTTAGTGTATGCATTCTAAAAGTGAATTGAAATAAATTTTAACATACAATACTGAAATTGTTCCAAATTTTATTTGAATTTTTCTATAAGCAACAGTTATTATATTCTCAGTTCACCCGAGCCGAAAGCTCAGGTGAGCTTTTCTGATCACCAGTTGTCCGTCGCCCGTCTGTCTAGCTGTCTGTCTGTCCGTCTATAAACTTCACATTTTCACTTGCTTCTCAAGAACCACTGAACCAAATTCAAACAAACTTGGTACAAAGTATCCTTGGCTAAAGGGATATTTAACTTGCTAAAATAAAGGGTCAAGTTTTCTTCCAAGGGGATATAATCAAGAAAATACATCAATGGGGTGGGGTCATTAAAATCTTCTCAAGAACCACTTGGCCAGAAAAAACTGAAACTTATGTGGAAGCATCCTTTTGTAGTGTAGATTCTCAATTGTTAAAATCATGACTCCCAGGGGTAGGGCAGGGTTATAAAAGGGAATCCATTTTTCTTTTACATCAAAGTATATGGGGGAAAACTTTATAAATCTTCTTCTGAGGAACAAATGGATTTAAAAAACTAAAACTTATTTGTAAGCGCCTTGGGGTATTGTATATTCTAAATTGTTTGAATCATAGTCAAGTAGGTTTGTCAAGGTCAAGATTACAAAGGGGTAAATCTGTTAAATGACAGAATGGCCAAAGTTACTCAGGTTAGCAATGTGGCCCATGGTCATCTTGTTGCCAAACTATTTACTCAAATAAGTCAAATTTGTTTACATTCAGGCATGTTTCTCTTTTTTATTAGTTCTACCGAGAACTTAGCTTATATCGGTTTAGTGTTAAAAACGAAGAGGGTTTTAATAATAATAAAAAGAATAGACTAAAAAAATCATATTTCCGTCTCTTTCGGTCCCGTTTGTTTTCAGCGATTTTTTCCAACTCTGGCATTCCAGGGGAGTCACTTTCTAAACCGAACTTACTTCTGACTACGCTGTCGAATCTGTTGAAGAATTGGGACTATTAAATTCATAACATTTTCTTTGCGGTACTCTATAAATTAAAAAAAAATACATAATCGTTAAACTTTTATTGACAACAAAGTAAATAAAACATATCTTTATATTATATTAAGAAGTGGACTTAATATGGGTTAAATGTAAGGATTGTTTTTAATTTGAAAACGACGGGGTAAATGAAGGGGCCAAGTCTTTGCTACACAGCTCATTTGGCGAGATTCTTTCAGATTCCTGTGGATTTCTAACTGATGATTTACTACGCTCTCTCTGAGTTTTCATGACGTGCTAGGAGCAGTCACTTCCCATTCACAGTGTACCCAAGACGTCTTTTTGACATAAGGCATATCAGAGGACTCCAATAAGACTCCGAGCAGTCGCCATCAACTGTTGCAATCATGTGTTAAATTTCATTTCAGGGTTCTTAAATGAGTTATGAAGGCGCTGTTGAAAACATAATAACCCTTTTGGACGTTTACGAGAGACACTGACTTTTACAGTTGACGGTTCACTTTGCCATTTAAACCTGTATCATGTCCGGAGGTTCAGAATTGATAATAAATCAGAACACCTTAATTTCTAGTGGCAATAGGAATGGTGTTAGGAACACTAATATGCGAAGACCGGGAGTTGAGGGTAGGGTGGTTGTGTTTCCTTAAGGGCAACTTATTAATACTTTTAAATAACCCGATAATTCCGTTTAATGAGATGTTAAAAGTATGCACGCTATAACTTGCGCCAGTTTAAACAAGATTGGAGATTTATATAATGTGTTTATCAATAAAAGTTACGAATACTGTAAATTACAACAATAGAATTAAACGCGTTTTAAAGCTATCAAATAATAATTATTTATATCCCTGCTAGGAGAGAAATACAAAACTATGTAGCTTTTTTTTTTAATATTTCCATTACTAATTTTTTACTCTGTGAAAACTCTTTGAAAGTTTTGGGAGTTTATTCTTGATAATTCTGCCAGCATGTAAATTAGGCAGGTCAATAAGTCAGCAGCTAAGGAGACCTAATACGCATGCAAATCTCGTTATTTTTAAAGTCTTAATCTACAATTTTATTTCACAATGAAATGGAAATATAAGGAATCACTGTCTAGTTAGGAGAGTATGCCAGGGACATCAACAATAGTTGGAAACATGGGATAATTTTAGCATAACGGGCTTAGCCCGTTATGCAAATTATCCAATGTTTCCCACTTTTGTTGATGCCCTGGCATACTCTCTTACTAGACAGTGATTCCTTAAATAATTCCATCACGTGACGCTGTCGCTACTTTTAGATTGATAAACAAACATGGCGTGAAGAAAACAAGGTAGGCCGTTTGAGATACTACTCACTTTTTGACGTGGAAGGCAAGCGTCTTACTCTTAATATCTATATTTTAATGTGATCAGTATCAACCATCTACTCGGTTATGACGCATACTAACTTTTTATTAATATTTTTTGTAGAAATGCAACATGCCTCGTCTGTGATTTCCCGTGGACATGCGTGTCTATATATAGTACTACTTTTTATGCACTTCCTTCATCAATATTCATGAAAAGACTGAATTCTTAATTGACAGTTATTGCTTAATTGTTTTGTTATTACAACGATGTCTATAGTAAAATTTTGTGGAAAGTATTATTTTTTTTATTACACTTCATGTGTTTCAAAACATTAATCATTTTGTTTCAGACAAAATTCGGCTTTCATATAGCTTGTATTCCTTTAAATAACAGTGGAGTGAATATTACTCTACATCTTTCAAACAATGTTTAGAAGGAACCAGAAATTAAAATCACAATTAAGATAACACATATATTTATTACATGTTATTGATTATAGCATTTGATTAAACAACAAAAAGGAAATGATACACGATTTTGAATTATACAGGAATTGAAACTAATTAACATGAGATGTTCGATATTTAGAAAACGGTCGTCGGGTTTGCTTTCTTCATAAAATGATATTATTCCTATTTTGTCAGTTTCGTTTTGAGTTTTTGAAGAGCCGATAAAGCAATGTCGACAGCTTTCAAGAAATTTTCAGCCTGTGGACTTTTATGTTCGCCAGTTGCACAATAATAAGCCATATGTTCGCAATTGTTAAACAACAGATCGTACTTTATGAGAGCTGTATTTTCAAGGCACTCTTCTGCGATGGCGACTGTCTCATTAGGACTGTTGCGTTTACCATTTTCGTAGGTAAAACGATAAATGATTGGAACTGGATCCTTATATTCTTCCATTTTATATCTTTCTCTCTTGATTTCAGCTTTGAAGGAATTTCCAATTCCTTCACCAAACTCAATTACTTCAAACTTCTCTGCCGTTTCGTCCACATCTGTAACAATAGCATGGTGAGTAAACACCACTCGGTGGAACATTATGTGATCCCCTCTCTTTAGTTGTTTGATGTCGAGTACAGGTTCGGTCTATAATATAGTTAAAGAATTTAATATCAGCAATATCTTTTGAAATTATCTCATAAGTAAATGAAAATTAATGAATCAAATCATTCATATTAATTATAAATCGAACTTAGTTAATTTTACAATGATTCTACGCCCTCTTTTTTCAGATCACTTAAATAGTATGATTAAATATTCTTTTTTTATCATAATTATGTCACAATTTGAAACCCTTCACCGGTATATGGTGATATATGATATATGCTCTCTATATGAGTATTTTCGAGTGGGACATAAAACAATATACAGTCGGCGCTTAAGTCTGCTTTTCTTCTCCAATTCACCAATAGTCTGTCGTCGTTATCGTTTTGATGTTGTCGTCGTCTTTGTTGTCAAAAATTTTTACAATTTCATCTTAACCGCTTAATTTTGCATTTAGTATGCTTCGGAAGATAGGCTTAAAGTTATTTTTTTACAAATATTTACATTTGCAAATGTTTTCCTTTATATAACACTACTGAAGGCAAGCGTTTTTTATAACTGTGTAAATACAGGTATGGGGTCAAGAGGTCATAGATGTGCGTTTGGATAAACGTTCGACGTAATTTCTCTGTGACGTCATACAGGATCGACGCGCGTTTAGTGGATTACATACATGCCGTTGGGTTTGAAAAATTAACGCATTTCACACGTTAAAAGTAACTGTGATCAGGCAAATATAAAGTATGAATAAGTCACAAATGTAAATATAAGTAATAAGGTATCATTTTTTGAGTTTTATTGAGATGTAAAACGGGTTGACACATGATCAAATCTTCCATAAAGCCCTTCGGGCTTTATGGGATTGATCACGTGACCAACCCGTTTTTCATCTCAATAAAACTCAAAAAATGATACCTTATTTCTTAAATAAAAGACCACGTCATCTTCGAAGAGGAGATAATTTATAGGGAAAAACGTAAAAAAAAAAGTGCGCGAGTTTATTTTAAAATCGTCTTTACAAGACCACAGGGCTAGGAATGATTAACATTATTCATTGATCATGACCACAGTCTAACAAAAAAAATGTTTTGACAAATATTTAAGAATTTTCTTCCCAAGAACAGTAAAATATGCTTAGACATAATCGTATGAAAGCATCCTCGGATACTTTACATTAAAGTCTGTTCAGATAAGAAGTTCTTTGCGTAAAAAGTGTTTGTAATAGGAGATCGAAATAGGCATGCAAACACAAAGCTAAACACATAAAAAATAGTCTTTCTATAAAAATCAAATCTATGATTAGTTTTATTAATTCAAAAGCATCCTCAGGTAATTCAGATTAAAGTTTGTTATGATGGTGTTCGCATGTAAAAGATCTATAATTTTGTAATTTTGTATTTGCTAAGACAATTGGTAATTTCGAAATTTTATATTTTTTTGTAAGTTCTGTGAAAATTTAGTGTTAATTTTAAAGGAGTGTCAAAACAAATGAAGGCTGACGTCAAAAAATGGGGAGGGGTTTCTTTTTCCAACATTTTATAAAGATTTGTCCCTGTAAAAACTGCAATATACCAATGAAATGTTTAAACTCGCTCCAGAAAAATACAGTGCAACCGAGTACAAATTTTTAAATTCCAAAAGAGATTCAGAGAGGTTAGAAAAGCACAGTTAATGTCGATTTGAATTGATGGTATAAAAGTCAATCACGTCAAAAAGTTACATTAATTGTTTTGGTAGATATTGAACTCCAAGAAAAAAAATATGCTGGTATAATCAAGCAAGAATCTCTCCCTACGTAAAGACTAATTGACTATTTTCTAATCATTGTTAACAGCTACTCAAGACATTGTTATATCATATAATCAAGATAGGCTTTAGTTTTTAATTAATTTCCAAATCTCATCAAGATGAGTGTAAAGTGACAGAGGGAACAGGATGTGCGAATTGTCGTAAGTCATAAAACTAAATGACGATACCGCTGGTTAATCATATATCGTCCTTTTTGTTAAAAAAAAATAATTTGGCAGTTTATCAACGTATTAATAAATTATTTAGCTTAAATTTTCAATATTTCTAAATTTTTTTATTGTTTAATGTTCCTTAAAAATTTTGTAAACACAGCCTATATGGTAGTAATTAATTTTATCGCATCAGTCAACGAGCTTTTTGATAACCCCTTGTATTTTCATGTAATACTTACTCAGGTTTTTTAAAATTATTTAATATCAATTAGAGGTTAAATATATTATATTTCATAAAAACTACACATACATGGATTGATTATTATTATGTAAAAAAATTATTGAGATTTAGCAAGTCTAAATATAGTCCTATAAAGAAACTAAAAAGAACATATCAATAATAAAAACTGGGAAATTCAGGATTTTTTACTTCTTATGTAATGTAAATGGCCAAAAAATGTACAGGGCTTTAAATTTAGCATTTTGTATGATTTCTTTTTATACAATCCCAGAAGCAGGCGTAACAGATTGCTATTTATTTTCTTAAACACTGTAGATGACGATTTAAATCTGATAAAAACAAGCATTAACAAATGCATGCCTTTAACATGTTTAAACAATAGAGGCATCAAGTGCCTAGAAAAGTCTATATAATTCATTTACAAAAAGTGGGACATGTTGTCGCTGTACACAAACATGCCGAATTAAATAAACGATGGCAAGGGCTGTTATATGGAATCCGGATAGGGCCACGCAGTTCACTATCGCATCATCGCACCATCGAAATTTGAGTCGCGATAATGCAATGACGATGAAGCGAAGGTGCGATAACGATGAAGAGATGGTGCGATAGCGCGATGAAGATGATGCAATGGCGCGATACTGCGATGACGATAAAGCAATGGTCCGAAGGAGCGATAAAGCGATGACGCAATGGCACGATAGCGATGCTGCGATGGTGCGATTGCGATGATACGATAACGTCTAGCAAGAAAGACATGGTTAATTTTAATACCCAAGTGAAGTTTATTTACCCAGATATATTTCTGATGTATATTCTGTTCATATCTTCACTACCTGACGCCATTTCTATTCTCAATGGCGCATGTGCAAAAGAGTGGATAGCGCGATAGTGCGATAATGCGATGACGATAGTGCGATAAAGCACTAATGATGACACGATAAAGCATCACTTCATCGTTATCGCGTTATTGTATCATCGCTATCGTGCCATTGCGTCATCGCTTTATCGCTCCATCGGACCATCGCTTCATCGTCATCGCAGTATCGCGCCATCGCATCATTGTCATCGCGCTATCGCACCATCTCTTCATCGTTATCTCACCATCGCTTCATCGTCATCGCATTATCGTGTCATCGCACCATCGACTCAAATCTCGATGGTGCGATGATGCGATAGTGAACTGCATGGCCCTATCCGGATTCCATACTTTTGAATGTTATTGAAAAATTTTACGTAAATATATAATGTCAGGAAATTGATGATAATGTTGATAATATTTGTTGTTTATATTGATCTCCTCCTAACGTGTTTTCGGAATAAACGGTCATTAAGGATGTCAAAATCAAAAGAACGTCAAAGTTTTTGTGAAAAAGATGCGTCTTTAATTGTTCAAACCTTTCCTTAAAATGTTAATAGACTCTTGCAATCATTAAAATGGAAAGACTTGGTGTGTTATTATTATTTTTCAAGTATAATGTTCTTCTCAAGAACTCTTGACTTTAAACAAAACAGCTTCGAATTATTCTTGGGTAAAAGACAATAAATTCTGTTCTAAATAAGGGCCAAACCCTCATAAATGAGAGATGAGAATGACTTAGTATTTCTATATTTGAGAGCTTACAAACAATGTAAAGAATCATTTTTTTTTTCTAAATCATGACCAGGAATTGGATGCGGCGATTAAAGTTTTACATGGAATTGTATAAAGAAATCATAGCACATCCTCGAGACAACAGTAACCATCTTCTCAAATTAGGCTACTGCTTAAAATGTAAGAAAATTCTGGATAGAAAAGATTTTTGTATTTAAAAAAAATCATTTATCACCTCTTGGGCCCCAGAGAAAAAATAAAAAATCTGTAAACTTATAATATAATCACAGAACACAATCTATCGTCTACCAAAAGGATGATTATGCTACTGTGTGAAATGTTAGAAGAATTTTTGCAACAAGAGGCTTCTTTAATACAAACTCAAGAGATACTCTGAGCACCGAGCTCACTAAATGAAACGCCTGCCTCTCATATGATTATGATGGTAAAATCCCTAATAAGATCTCATTTCAGACTTCTTTTTGATTCAAAAATCACAAAATTATGTTCACAAAAAAGAGAAAAAAACAAGAATAAAGAAACAAAGATAATAACTACATTGTTAAGGACACATACATCCAAATTGAAGTAACATTTTACCGAAGACCTCCATGATCAAGTAGACTTTAAAATTTGCGTGTTATACGTAGACGTTTTTTCTCCTTTCAAATTTCTCTGTTTTGTTCTGTTGAGTTGTGTACAAAACTATTTAAAAACTATACTCATAAAAGAAAAAAAAAATTAAAAAGATATTCTCATTCAAGGGGAAAATTAAGTCTAAATTTAAAATAAGATAATATGACATGTCAAAATGTTGCACGAAATGTCAATACACATATTTATCACAAACTTAGTAGTAAATACACCTATTTTGCACTGTGCAATACGAGTGAGTGATGTCACAATACACCATATAAGGATGGGTCCAAAAATCCGTAGCACGTATCAGACCAACGTGCAAATATCCATATCAAATCTGAAGTAAATTTTGTTTAAAGTTTAAAAATTAATTTCTTGATTTTATTAAAATATACATGCAAAACAATTCTATAAAAACTTTGTATTATTATTTTTTTCTCAATTACATAAAATCTACAATTAAATTTTGAAGAAAAAAAAATAAACAAGCATGAAACATTCTTTAATGATTTTTAGTGAATTCGCATATTAAATATTTTATATATCTGATAAATAGAATACTACGAGCTAAAATTTATACATGTACCATATGTCATATCAGCCCTCGGACCTCTAGGATGATGTGGGACTACTCGGGCTTATATGACATATGATATAAATTTTATTACATATGACATTAATATTTTACATTGGACATTTCAAAAAGACAAAAAGCTTTCTCTTTACCTCTTTGTAAACAAGGCCTACAACTTTAGCCACAATATCCTCTACATTGGATGACATTGTGGATGGTTTTGAATTCTTGTTACAAATCCTTCTCACGTATAAAAAACAATTTTTTGCCGTGTAGTCAAATTTGCAATAGCTTTTATATAACGGATCTTAATTAACTGACACAGGCCCCGCCCATTTTTATGTTTTTTTTTCCTTGAACAAGATATACATGCTTATAACTATTAGAAATAAAGCAATCATTGATAAATTAAAAAAGTTTTATTGTTGTAAACAGATAAAAAAAAAAATGAAAAAATCGAACAGTTTTGCTAAAGATCATATATCTAATTAAACATTCTATTCAGCATGATATGCAAGTCTATTAGATTTTATACATATCATGACACGTGTGGATTGGGCGGTAAAAGAGACCAAATTTTACGAAAAGAATTCTATCTTTTGAAATCTTCTCAAGCACAGCAAAGCAATTATTCATAAAGTTTAATTTTAGAAGCAATCGAAAGAAAACAAATTATAAGCTAAAGGGATCGACTTATAAAAAAGAATCTATTTTTAGATTGATAAACTGAAAAAATAAGTAGAATCCTTTAATAAATTTGCAATATGAAGAGCTCAAAATTAACGACAAATGAAAAGAAAATAATCTAAATAAACTTAATTAGAATACGGTCTTCAGTTGGAAATAAAGAGACAAAAAGATGTCGATGCAAATTAAATCTGCTATTCTTAATTCATTGCATTTTGTGCTGTGACAGTATTAAGTGTTTTCTTCCTCCTTCCTCAGGTTTACGAAGCAAACTCAATATCCTGGTATACATTTTTGTGACAGATATTAGTTTCAATTCTAATATCTTTTTGAAAGAAGTCTATACCTTTTACGATTTGTTTAGTCAAATATTTAAAAGGAATTTCGAATATTGATACAATCTTCTTACAGGTAAAGGGAAATCATACACACGGATCAAACAGCCTTTTGTAGAAAAAACATTTTGTAATTTAGTGGATAAAAAGTGACTGAAATATAAGAAAATTTTTCTAAAACTTGATATATAGGATATGCATAAACTAGCAGGTGATAGTAATTACATTGTACTTGGTCCTTTTGTAAAAAGTTAATAAATTCATTTAACATCCATTGGTACATAAAATAATTATGCTTCTTAAAATCTGGATGCATAAAGGGACATTAAATTTATTAAAACATTTTTTTTAAAGATTTGTTTTAAAAAACAAAAAAAGCAGTACAATCTTTTAGGAAATTTGAAATTTGTAGAGCTCAACATTAAATTCTGGGGGGGGGGGGGGGGTCTTAGCGAACGGAATAATACAATTGTCTTCCGCTGGATACGGACCGTTCACGGTAGCTCAGTCGATGGAGTTCGCTTCATGGTCCGGAGGTTGTTAGGCATGTAAACAACATACAATCAATCAATCAATCAATCAGTCCGTTCGATACGAAATACTTATGAAAACGATGTTGATACAAATTTTTTAATCGCATTTTTTTTTGCATATTGTGTAGGGACAGCGTTTAATTATTTCTTCATTAAGCCTACAAGGCAAACTCAATTCCTGGTACTAAAACTTTGTTCTGATCGATATGAGTTTCATTCAAAACGTGCCCTTGAAAAAAGTCTATCCTTTTAACGATTTGTTTTGTCTAATATTTAAAAGAAATGTCGGTCATGGAAAAAAAAATTCTTACAGTTATAGGAGAATCCTTCACAGGGATCAAACAGCCGTTCGTAGAAAAACAATTTGCTTTTTCGGGGAAAAGGGGACTAAAATAAAAAACAACAACACCTTTTTAAAACTTGAATAAGGGTATGCGTAATCTATCAAGTGGCAATGATTACTTGGGCGTCTTTGTAATAAGTTGATCAATTCATTTAAAATCCTTTGGTACATAAAATACAGATGCCTCTTAGAAAATGTTCCTGGTCCCAATTTTAAAATTTTATGTCTTTGAAAAAAGTCAGGCTATAAAAATTCAATCTTAGTTATTTCCCTGGCATTCTTTTGTTTATGATAATTTTCCCGCTATATATCATAAGAAGATTTAGTTTATTTTAAAAATGTAATGAAAAGGTAACTAAATGATTGATCTTTTAAAAGTCATCACTTACTACCAATATGTTCTACAATATTGAACACAGTAATAAAAATCAAAAGCAAATGTTCACAGTTAATATACTTTAATTTTTGAAATCAATAATATTTTAGTTTATTTTTCAGATGCATAGTTGTAAAATAATATTAATGTAGTTTTCAGTGAAAGAAGGCCAAAATAAGACGCCTAAATCACGAAATCCAATGAAATCAAAACCTACGACACACTATTTTATATGCACTGTACTGCAATACGTATGATCTATTGTATATCTCGAAGATGTGAAAAATGGAAAAAAGTAAGGTGAATATATCAAAATATTTTCTTTATCCCCAACACTATATATAACATGAATAAATATTTCTATAAAAAATGATTCCTTTTTTTAAATTAACTACATTTTTAACTACCGGTAATTATATTTTGATCGATAGACTACTTGTATGTTTATTTTCGCCCCATTCTGTTCTATTTAGATTGATTGATTTTGTTTGCATATTGTGTAATGGCAATATTTATGATTTCTCCTTTTAGCAGACGTGGCAAACTCAATGCCCTGGTAATAGAACTTTTTGTGACAAATATTTATTTTCATTTTAGATGTGCCCTTGAAAGAAGTCTATCCCTTTAACGATTTGTTTTGTTAAATATTTAAAAAAATATATCGGTCATAGAACAGATATTCCTACGTGTAAAGGAAAATCACTCAAACGGATCAAACAGTCTTTCGTAGAAAAACTATTTGCAATTGGTGGATAAAAAGGGACTGAAGAAAACACCTTTTAAAACGTTAAATGAAGGGTATGCATAATCGATCAGGTGGCAATAATTGCGTGGTCGTCTTCGTAATAAGTTGATCTTTTCATTTAAAATCCATTGTTTCATAATATAGAGGTGCTTCTGAGAAAATGTTCCTGGTCTCAATATTGAAATTCTGTGTCCTTAAAAACATTCAGGCTATAAATACTCAGTCATCGTTATTTTTCTAGCATTTTTTTTTTAATTATAACCTTTTTTTGATACATATGAAAACAAGATTTATTTTAATTTTAAAAAAAATACAATGTTGATTAATTTCCCCTTCTGTTCTATTTTGGAAGCAGTAAAAAGAAAAACAAAATGGAAATGAGATTTGAAAAACTTCAGTATTTATTTTTTATTTTAATTATTTGTTCAGTACCAGGGAAACCAGAGGTGATTGTAGATTATCTTTGTGTTTGTCAGTTCGTTGGTCTATTTATCTATTTGTTTGTCAGCCTATCCTTCTTGGTTTTCCACACTTTTCCCCTAGCATATACCGACCAATTTTGCCTTTCGTTTCAGATAATTGATTTTCAACAGAATTGTGACTTGTTCAATTTTTATGTTTTTTTTTTTTTTTGCTTTTTTTTTTCTCTACACACATGCTGTAACTATTTTCGGTAGAGAAAAAACTCTCATTGAAAATCATTCCACTTAAAAATAACTTCCCTAATAAAATTAAGTGTGTAATGTCACTTCTGTACTCTTTTCCTGTCTCTGATGTATACAGACCTTATTCAAAACTATTTATTATATATCTGTAAGCTGGTTACTCGTTTGACGACGCCATTTTTATCATACTCAATTCTAACTACACTTTGAAAATTATGACACCAATCATCTGTTTCCAATGCTATTTATATGCAATTTTCACATATTATTGAGATTTTGATTCTGATTTCACCGATTTAAATTTCAGTTCGATGTTTTTTTACATAGCACTAAAGAAAAAAAGCAAATGTACTAGTTATATGCGTAAATTATTTTAAGTTTGTCCGTGCGCCGACAGACTATATTGGCCATCCTTTAAATCGTCCTAATATTATTAATATGAAAGGTGAACATATTAAAATCTAAAATTTTAAAGAACATTCATTATATTATTTCTTTGCGAAATTTGGTCAGTATTGGTTTGCATGCTTTAAAAATTATAAAAATTGTCTACGACATTTTGGGACAACCCTCGTATTGGACTGATTTTTTGGAATTTGATTAATTGATTGTGTATTATTTAACGTCCCTCTCGAGAATTTTTCAATCATATGGAGACGTGCTTGGCACGCAGGGCCTTTGAGCAGTGAGGGATCTTCATTGTTCCAACGCCTACCGTGACACGGGACCTACGTTTTTAAGTTCATATCCGAAAGACCCGTGACTTTTTTGGCATTTGTATTTACTTTCATGAGTAAAGGAAATTTTTTCTTCATTTTATTGGACTTCAATGATTTTTTACGGAATTGCATTTTTTTTTTTTTGAAAAGAAATGGGTGATAATAAACATCGAATATTGTAAGAAAGATAAAATTATCGAATAGGAATGACGAATAGGAACCGTGTGTTTTCGAAAAGAATGAGTTATTATGATATAAGAATCATACTGTCATATTTACTACAATGGGAATAGCAATATAACGCATACAAATTACAATTTATTGAAAAGGAATAACAACTAATCGAATTTGAATCATATTTATCGAATAAAATGATATGTTTTAGAATAAGACTAATCTCATTCTCAAAGTTATGCTCCAAAAACGATCAATTTTTAAGCCGAGGCAGGCTACTGACAAATAAGTTCGTTACAGTTATTACACCAACCTTGTTTAAAGTCGGCATTACTAACATGCCATGGTCGCTATATTAATATTTTCACAAAATTAACATAACGTATCATTAGATTTATTTTGGCCGATGAGTTCCATTCTATATTTTAGGATATTAGTTTTGTTAATTTTCATACGGAATATAACTAGATGGGATGTTCTGCCCAACTGATCAATTTATAAAGGGTGTTACTTTTTAGACACCAGATTTCCAGGATTTGTGTTTTATTCTCTATTCATAGTTTTGTAGTTATTTATGGATACTATGGATTAAAGAAAGTATTGTCAAAAAATAAAGTTGTTATGCTTGATAATAACTGAAATCGAGTACTGATTAAAATGTACATATTTACACAGG